GCCGCTGCCTTGCAATCCTTTACATGTGTCTCCCAGCGCTGGGCTGCAGTGTCCGCCTCTGCCTCGCAATCCTTTACATTTGTCCTCGCAATCCGTTGCATTTGTCTCCCAGCTCTAGACTGCTGTATTGAAATCCTTTATTTGTCTCCCAGCTCTGGGCTGCATGTCGTTTGCAATCCTTTACATGTGTCTCCCTGTGTCTACATTTGTCTCCCAGCTCTGGACTTCTGTGGCCGCCTCTGCCTTGCAATCCTTTGTCTCCCAGCTCGATGTCCCAAGCTCTAGTTGCAGAGTGTTCCGATATTGAAAAACACAAACTGTTTGGGGTCTACGGTGGTGTAATTTGAACATGTCGGGAGAGTGTCGGGGTGCCAGAGCCAACTTGGGCTTGGCTCTCATCCGCCTCCAAGTGTAGTCATAATCTCCCTGTTCCCTCCTTTCTTTCCCTCTTTCCTTTGGCTGTGAGAGGCTACCGTTCCAGTCTTGAGCCATCATCATATGGACAACTTCTACTCTTACTAACTTAGTGTTTGCTTGGAGTCAGGTGCGAGTTTTAAAGTTTTTGATTTGTTCTAAAAGGTTCAATCGAAAGGATAATAAACAGTTCTGGGCTGGAGGGTATCCATGTTGTATTGCCAGTTGACAGTCTTCTGAAGTCTTTCATTGGAATCCGGGGATATTGCCAATTGCCCAGCGGTTATTTCGCCCGGTGGGTTTGATTTACTTACCTTAGAGGCTGCGTTGTTTGTTCCCATGTAAGTGCAGTGAAGCCCAGATGAACTTGGCAACCCATTAGAATAAGTCAATAAGTTAAGTCAAGTCATTGAATTTTTGAATGTCCCATGGATGCAACAAACTGCATGAACAAAATATTCATCTGGTGATAAGCAGGGTCAGGGTCACTCATTCTTTGAATTGCCATTTGAGGTTGTCCAATTAGTGAAGGGATGATGTTGTTTGCAATTTTGAACTTTAGAATTAACCCGCCCACTGATCCAATCATTTTGCATTTCCTAGACCAGAAATTACAATCCAATTTCCCTAAATGACACTAAATATGATTGTGGCTTTGGGGGGTATGGTTTTAAAGGCCCTGACCCTTTACGACTGTTAATTACTGTGGGGGGGCAGGGTCCAACTCTTAGATGTTATCGGTAATTAGTGCACGGACCGAGTGCCAATAAATCTTAAAGCCGAATGACCGAATCAATCACCTTGGGTTTGGCCAGCTCGTGCTGAGAAGCGCAACATTTGGCAGAAGCCGAGCTTCCAGTGACTATGTTGGGTTTTTGAACCATCCAAACCAATCTTTCTTAAGAATGGCACGATGCAAGAGCATGAGCTGCGCATGAGCTTATGGCAACCCAACCAAAAGTGATTTTGTTTTATCACATCCTGAACCATGCATGAACTATGCATCACGACACGTGAAAAATGATCTGATTTGGGTGTTGCTTGTAGCCGCTCATCAATACCAACAAAGAACTAGTTATTGGTGATTGATTGATGGTGATTAAGTGATTACATACATACAGAAGGAATGGAGGCAAAGCTCAAACGTGTTCTGGTCCATATCCGACTTAAGATTCAGTGAAGAGTAGAAGAAAGAAATTGAAGAAACTTTGCTCAAATTGGATTTGTTGTGCTGTCGCACGTAAAAGCTGCCATATTTGAAGAAGCACAAAGGGGATCCGATTACCCCCAATAAAGCAGGTTCCCACGTCTAGCTTTAGTAGCGATACAGCTGTTGCGATAAAATGTGACCCCCAACCCAAAGTGATGCATCGAGATCTAATGTCATACCATGTTTTACAGTACTGCGAGTATACTGTATCTTTCATTTGCTTCATAGGTTCATGCAACCTCCCAACTCTTGAGGAACCTCCCGCCTCGGGGAGAGTCTCCGTCTCACCCGTCTCACTTCGCCTCCGCCTGGTGGACATCGTTGTTCTCCGAGCGTTGAGTGGGCCGAAGCAGTTGGAAGTGCTGCTTGCTTTTGGGTTGCAGTGTTGATTGAAGTGGCTGACTCTTCTTGAATTGGATTTGTTTGGTTCAAAACACACCCCCAGACCATCCAAGTCTGCCGCCCAGGCCGGAAGGCGTGTCCCAGGCTCTAGGCCAGGCCGGATCGAAGCGAGGTTCGGCCCAAGGCAGTTGGATCCGGCGGTTTTTCGTCCAACCCGAAAGGGCCCAAACGAGGGAAGTGTTCACCACTTTCTCTCCCTCTCCCTCACCTCCCTCACCCTCTCCCTCACTCCCTCACTCACTCACCCTCTCCCTCACTCCCTCACTCACTCTCTCTCTCTCTCTCTCTCCCTGCTCTTTATTCCTTGACGATTTCTCCAGAATTGCATGCGTTCAACATCTCTGAACCTGAAACCACTGCCAACCCGACCTACGACCATGGCCGAAGGGACTAAGTTACACTAAGGTACAAGTCCCATTGTGCCATTATGGCAGCCAAGTTCCCAATGGCTGTGGTGTGAAATTGGCCATTGGTACCAAACATCATCAGTCTGAGTTTTGTACAACAGTACAACACGGCATTGAGAAATGAAATGACATCAGAATTGGCAGCGGCTCCTGCAAACGGCCCCTCACTGATCAGTAGTGAATGATCCGCAACTGTGCACATACATCAGAGGAACACGATTTCTGGCATGTAGACAAGCCACGAACTATCTACATACAGTTTTGCACAACTGCGAACATGTGCAAAGCACCTACAGTGCACGTTGAAAGCTGAAGCAAAACGATTCCTCTTCCGTCGAGGGGTTCGGGCCTCTCGTTCGCCGCCTCAGCACGCCCGACATGTTCCAACCGCAGAACCAGTCAGATCTGCTCGTCTGTACGTCACGGTAGGATTCAACGGTCATCTCTGGTCATATTAGGGACCGTGCGCGCGCGCCACGCCAATGGTTGAGAAGACCAGCAAAAACTGGTGAATGAACTGCATCATGAAGTCCACTTAGTTGATGATCAGAAAACTTGAGAATGTGAAGTCTTATTATAAGGGGCAAGGATCCCAACTCGACAATGAATTTTCCGATACTCCTTGAAACAAATGACTCATGACTGACACAATTAAAGTTCATCTTGATGGTTGATGCAGAACTCTTGCAGCGTGCAGAGTCAACTTTCTGGGGGTCAGGTGGTACGGGGGTTGAAGCTCATCGCTGGGTCAATGAATGGTAAATATTGCATTGACTTCCCATTCATGGGGAAAGTTGGCCATTTTTTGAGCAATATTATCACAAGCAACATCAGCCATTTGGCCCAATGATAAAGCCCCTGCGCCTGAAATCCCAAGAGTCTACCTTGGAACGTTGATCTACCATAGAATTCTTTCTCAGCGAGCTGGTTAGGGTTTGCAGTGATCCACATTGAGTCGCTGAGGCTACATCTGTCTTCCGATGATGAGAATCCAGCAAAACCCGGGCGAATCCCTTCAAATGATCCGCGTCCGACCCCGCTCCGTTCGACGCGCCGCTTCTGCCCCAACTCGCCGTTACTATAGTTCGTCGGCTCCATTTCGTTCCATGGATTCCCCGGGCGCCGCCCAGGCGCCACAGCCAAGGGCCCCGTCTCAAAGTATTTCTCGTAGACCTGTGATCCGCAGCTGTCGCACGGGCGGGGACTCGCCGTGCCGACGATCTGTTCTGTTTGCAGCGTCACGGTGTGGGTACGACCGAGAGACATGCGAGCTGAGCTGGTTACAAAGTCGTGAAAGAAGGAGAGACATGCTAGATAGGCTAGATGTTGACTTTCTTGATGGCTAAGTTGTGGTCTCTTTCAGGCGGCTACAAGCGTAAAACTTTCATGGGCACCTGGACCTGGAATGTCAAAGGTGTGAAGGTTCCATTGCAGGTTTTGGGGTCTCCTCTCCCACGGCATTGGATCTCATGCGGCGACTACAAGTGAAGCCAAGTGGGTAGCCATGTTAGTAAGTGAGAGCGACAAATCTATAGACATGTGACATGGGAGGATTGTAGGCGGACCTAAGTAGTCCAGCAGCTGCATGAGTGACCTGCAAGACTTCCCTAAGTGGGCAATGTGGAATGTGGCAAAAGGTTACTTTCATTACCAGGAGTCACAAGACGGGGTGGTTTCTAGTCCCATCCAGTGAGTGGATGTGACAGGGGCACCCCGACTTCCTTCGTTCGGCATCCCTTTCCTTGTGACTCCTGGTACCTTCTTCGCACCATCTGGATACATGTTTCGCATCTCCACACACTCCTTCAGCGAAACCAACAGCGATGAACTGCCAATTGCAGCTATGCCCACCAAATGCATCCGAAGGGTGCCCAAAGACTTGTTGACTTTACTTGTCCTGAATGGGCTGCACTGGGTTTCCAAACGCTAAACTGGAGAACCACCGTAAGGTCGGGCGATGCGGAATGACGCGGTAGGTGCTTACATCGGGCTTTCTCGAGGTATGTCCATTTGACACCCCCTAGCTTCAAGGTATGCCCCATGGGCACCCCTAGGTTTCCTGAGGTTTTGACCCGAGACACGAATGACACGCAATGACATGCAGGCTGCTGGCATCTCGAAGCAAAAAGATTTTAAGCTATGGTCCTTTGAAGCTCCAGTGACCTCATGTTCATGTGGCACATCCAAGGCATCGCGTGTTGGGGCCCTTTCGCCCTCTGAAGAGACCTCCCCCTTCTTCCCACCGACTGTGCCTTCGAGGACCCGGATCGTCTCGGATCAACTGGTCGTGTCCCAAACGAAAGTACACCATTGATTAGGTCATATTAGGCCATGTTGGCATCACTGAGAAACCCTAAGAGGCTCCAAGTGTTTAGACATGTTTAGACCACTCAATGAGGCCTCACCTCAAACATCCCTGCCAGGATCGTACTTGCAAAAAGGTTGATTCATTCCACTCTGCCTTTCGTGAAAATCGCCCATCTTCGCCCTACTCGCCTCCAGCCAGTCATAACGACCTTCTGCCTCGCTCTTCCTCTTTAACAGCGTCTGCAAAGCCCTTTCCACCTAGCGATCGCCACACCCCGTGCTCCGCCAAAGAGGAGAAAAGATGCGGCTGCGTAGACCTACGACCATGCCCTATGGACTTCTCAAAATTCAGAGCAACAAAACCATCGGTGGCACCACACTCGTGGCACCATGGGTTCTCCCCGCCCAGGACCCCTTATTTTTGGGGCGCTTCTTTTGAAGCCTTGAGTCAAGCCGGCCTGCAACCCCGCTCAAACACCGCAGCACCGCTCAAACACCCCGTGCCCGTCCGGCGTTCCCCTGGGCGCCCTACGGTCCCCTCTGGCCGCCTCCGTGTTCTCGGGCGCTCGCCGCTTGGCCTCTTCGAAGGCCTCCAGAGCTTCATTGAAGCGGGGAACTCCGCACGCCAAAGCGCAGCCCAGTCGGTACCTCAGACCCGGGCATCGGACATCTGCGAGAAACACCTCTCGAGGCCAAATGAGCCTGGATGTTTTTGGGGAGCTGTGCCTTTTTGGGGAGGCAAACAAATAAAAAATCCGAACCCATGCGGAGAAAACTCAACATCGGGAGTATTGACAGATGTTGGGGGGATGGGAGTATGAGAGGAATAGGGTCTGTCTGGCGGAAAGATCGTAAATGTTTGAGTCCGGAGCATGCGGCTGGCTAATCCAGGATCAAACCATCTAGAGAAGCAGCCATTGGAGAAGCCTGTTGGTTTGCGATAACTCCTGTCTGTGCTGTTAGACATCCAGTCTCCAGGCGCCAACATAGACTCCTGCTTGGTGCTTCGTACTAGGAGCCCCCCCATGTGTAGAAGCTGGAAACTTGGATTTTGCGGCTCCCAGGAAGCCTGAAAAAAAAACAACAAAAACACATATTCACCATCCTACAGAGGCAAACATGGATTCACCCAGTTTGGGAAAACATATTCACCTGATCCGCAAAAACAGGCAAAACATTCAGCTCTTTCTGTCAAGCAGCCAGGTTTTGGGGTTCTCCGGCTGCAATGCACGTGCCAGGGCGGCGTCCTGGAAGGCGTGATGCATGAATTTGATGTGCCATGATCACTGGCCATGGCTGATGCAAACAAGACTCGTGACATCGAAATCACCAGAAAAGTCAAAGATCAGGAGAAAACACACAATCCAACAAAAATCAACAACAACCAAAAAAAGAGACTTAAAACAAGACACTCAAGGAAAAAAACGCAACAACACCGGCAACACACACACACAGATATAAAATAAACTCAAACAAACAAAACATAACACATATAATATATATATATATACGTTGTGTTTAATGATTTTTTTGAGTGTCAATGTGTTTTCGTGTTGTTTTTTTGAGTCTCCTTGCTGGTTGAGTCTTCTGTTGAGTCGCGTTTTGTTGTTTGTCTATTTGTTCATGCTATATGAGCTTTCTGGGAAATCCTGATTACACAACCAGATATTGACACGATCGACAGTCATACCATGGCCCCCGTTTCGGGATGTCCTATGAATACCTCTTGAAGATCAAGGGGTCTTTGTTAACCATGATTTTCGGGAAACGCCGAAATCCTCGAGAAAAACCACACCTATAGTTGAGGCTTAAGACCCCTCAAAATCATATCATGAAACCGTTTACCGTTTACCGACCTGCAGCCATCCCAGCACACAGCCGCCTTGGTACCCCTGAAAAGCAAATCCAAAGGAAGCCGCCTTGGTACCCATGTGTTCAACCAAATTCAACGAACTTCTCCTCCCGAGCGCCCTTGAAGTTCTTGAGCTTGAGACGACACCTAGGAAGGTGGACCCAGGTTCATATCCTGGACCAAGCAAGAACAAGGACACCCAGCTGGTTGCAAGGCAAATCACACGCGCATAGCAAAAAAACATGTGATTTCGCTTGTCAAACACCACTCGTTGTTGACACATGGAAACAGGCATGTGTCTTTGACTCTGATAACATCCTCGCTGTGGTTGGTGGTGTCTTCTTTTGTGACATCTGCAGCAGTTCGAGCAGCATGATGACCACGCAAAACATCCGTCATCATGGCTACAAAACATGAACTCCGTCGAACTCGACCAACCAAAAGAAAGTCATCCATTGCGCTCCGCCGGTGAGCAAAAACCTCCTCGCTTCCGAGAGCAAAGTGCTGTTTGAGTAGAAAAGGCAGTACACATACAATGTCATACATATTTTAAACAACAACTTTCAAAGAGTTTGGTGAATCATTGGGTTTTTTTGACAATCTCTTGTCCTGAAAAAAATGTGTTGATTTTCACACATACACATATCATAACAACCTTTTCCGCTACGGGGCGAACGGAACTGGGTCTCTCTGCTGCGCACGGCTACAAAGCGCTTGTGCTCGGCCCTCGGCACTGCTCGAGCTTTGCAATGCCTGGTTCACGACGGACGGGCCGCGGTGATGTCTTCCACCCGCCGTTCGGATCGGGAAGAGGCCAAAAACTCGTTGGAAGAGGCCTTTTTGCCTTCTGGAAACTTGGGAACAAGCAGCTACTAGGTGGAAGCCATCACTATTCGGTTCAAGGCCACTAGGAACTAAGAAGCTTTATAGCAGCTCCTGGCAGAATTACTAACTTGGGAACACAGTCACTCAGATCTGGTGAAGCAGCCCTTTTTGGAGGTTGCACTTGGAGTAAACTTAGGACTTAGGATTGGTGTGTGTGTGTGAATCATGCAGTCAAGGACCCATGAAGGACCCGAACACGATGATTCTAGATTTGGTCCTGGTTCGAGGAATGCCATGAATTGGTTGGCTGCGCTGCTCCTTTTTCAAACTCACGACCTCGAGTGAATCCAGTTATATATCTGCATTTGACTGGGTCTGGCTGGCCGAGGTGGAACTTGAGAGATCTTTTGAATCTTTCTTGGGATGTATCCCGGCCATCTGACATCTTTGGAAATCGAATCTTCCCCAACAAACCCGGAAGACAGCTTTCCGACCATGGGACCTACGAGCCTTTCCGAACATCCTGCAAGCAGCTGCTTGGACCCCCCTGGCACCCACCCCTGGCCCACCGAACCGAACCGTTCGGTGGGCCAGGAGCCCCAATAGTGGGGGCCGGGAGCCCCATCGATCGTCGTCCCACCAGGCGAGGCGACGCGGCTTCGATCTTCGACGGAATGGCGTCGCTTCAGCCTCGGAGTAGATGGCTTCAGCCTCGTCGAAGCGCCGAGCCCGGAAGGCCGCGGCGCCTGCCGAGGGAGATCGAGGGATGAAGGTAGATCGGATTGCTTTCCAGATCCCTTCTGGTGTCCTTTCTTTCAGACCATGAAATCATACGTTTTCTGGGGTTGGTCCCTGTCATGTAGAATTCATTTGGCAGGGTTTGACAGAGGAAACGCTTGCTCCAGATGCAATCCCCTGTTCCAGGTTCATGCATTTGGTTGCCATCTCGTTATCCTGAAGCCCCTCTGATAACTTCCAGCTCTTGGAGATTTGACCCCTTTGATAGATTCTGCTGATCTTCATGGATAATTCTGTGGTGTGACATCAGCTTGCTCAAGCATGTTCGATCCATCATCCTAGCTAGGTGATCACCTAATTGTTCTCATGGTTCAACCCTTCTGTCTTGTGGGGGGGCAGAACATCGCAAGCCATGCCCTTTAGGCTGCAGGGTACCTCTACCAAGCCGCTTTCTCGCATCCTTTTGGCTGCAGGGTTCAAACATGTTTTGTGCTTGTGTGTTTGGAGTTTGGATAATGAAACAAGAGAAAATTGATGAAACGTGTCATCTATCTTAAACAAGAGAAATCCTTCCGTTGAATAAGCGTTAAGGCCTTCTACAGGTCTGTCAAAGCATATTTTGATACCGTTTCGCACATGGTAGGTATGGCGCTTCGAGATGTACCCAGAGATGTATCATGATGTATCCATGTTCCGCACAACATTTGGGCTCAGCTAGGACTCTCTACTTCGGACGTGTTTCTCTGGATTTTGCGAAAAAATGTTCAGACAAAAGTGCGAAAGCCCAACCAGAATGACTTGGATATACTTGGATACTGGATACTCTTAAAGACTACGGTCTTGCCCCCATCATCCCCCATCCTTCAAGAGAAGTGATCAAGTGAACCACTTGCAGCCAGGCTTGAGTACTGCGAGGCTGGGCTTGCTCTAGGAGCAATGAACAAACCTTGATATTTATTTGGCAACTCGTGGTTAGCGAGAACTCAATTGAGATTTGATGTGTTTCTCGCGCGTGAGAAAACCTGAACTCTCACGTCTGGGAAACACCCTGGCTCTGAAGTCACTCCATAATCACCAGCCAGTTGGGACAGTGCAATTGACCCACGCAACACTTTTCGGGGCCAACTGCTTGTGCCCTGCCCCACTGCGGTCCCGGCCGTCAGGCATTCCAATCCATTTGGGCGCACGTGGCACGGCCGTTTTGGGTGGTCTTGAGTCCGTCTCGTCTTCACTTGCTGGCACTGGAAGTACAATTACCCCGAATCCGAAGGCAATCGCATGAATGTTCAATGCGGTCATTACAAGTACATATGTATACTGTATACGCGTAGCATAGCACGACTACACTTCAATGACTAGCTGGAGTTGAAGTTTTGGAACATGAAAACTATCAAATGTTCAGGATTGAATATTCTAGTGTCTTTCCGTAGGAGTCTTGTCATCGTATACAGACAGGTGATCGCGCTTTGTCGACACACTTGCCTTGATCCCGTGGCTCGAGCGGCTGCATCGTGGCCGGAAGTTGCTGGTATACTAGTAGCTTCTTGTTACTAGTAGCGATGGCCTCCAACCTAATGGCGATGGCCTCCACCTAATAGGTTCTTGTTCCTAGTAGTAATGCCAGGAGCTGGCCATGAGTTACATGCTGGATCGGCTACGGTGACAGGTGGTGGACGCTCCTGTCGAAAGTCTCAGCCATGGACTTGAACAGAACAGGACGTGGTAAATCCTCGGGGGTAAATGGAGCCACCATATACAATATACAGTAACCACAGCGTAGAATTGCTCAGCCAAGTTTAGTTTGGGATCAATGGTATGCACTTGCATTTGCAGGAAATAAGAAGACCTCCACCCTTTTCGGTCTTTGCAAAGACGATGGACTTGAAAGTGGCAAGAACTCAAAGCATCCGTAATTGAGCGTCTCATCGGTCAACGCCCGGAATGAGGAGGTCAAATGCATTGTCTGAGATCTTTCGTTCTTCACGGGCCAGGTTTTTTGATGCATCTCTACAGAGCCAGGATCTTGAGATTCAGAACCAAGTTGTGTGATGTTCTCAATTTATGGTCATCCTGGAGTAGATAGAATATGGGAAATATGGGGTCATGTTTTTGGATTGGTTCACCTTCTATCTACTCCAGGATGGTTGTATCTGTAGCTCGCTGATTTGGATTCACTCCTGCTATAGAATAGCCCCTCAACACCGGCTGCCACACCCCAAGGCGAAAGGGGCGTGGTGACCTCAGTCACTAGTCCCAACGAATGCGGGTCCTCGCGCGTGGGACATGTGTCTGCGCGCCAAAAGAGGGTCTGCATGGGTTCACATAATAGGCTTTGGCTTCAAGAAGACATCGACCTGCATGCTTCAGAAAATGCCCTCCAAATATCCAGTGCACTTAATAGAAGTGAATTGAAACACTTCTGTGCCAAACAAAAACTTCTGTCACAGGCGCTTGGGAGGGCCTCAAGCGCTCGTCCAGTGGTCAGAATCCTCATGAGAGTCATTGACTGTTGATTCTGTTGACTAAAAAAGCCCTCCATATTATGCATATGGAGGGATGACATATATTGAAATATCATACAGGTACAGAAGGGAGTTTTATTCATCAACATTCAACATGACGCTGTAAGCAACACGTCACACGTGATTTGCTTACACTTGGGCAGTGCCGTTCCAAGCTCAGAAATCATAGCATGGCCAATCGTAGCAGGGGGGGTGAAATGGCAAATAGATAAAACGATCCGTCGCATTTCAAGAATTGTGTTTTATCATTCGCGCTACAGCTCCCTCGTGGCCAGAGGCTTTGGCGCCCACTGTTCGGGAACAGGACATTCCATCCTAGCGAAGGGCCCAACATGTGGGGGCCCATGCAGTTGGATTCTCAAGCATTGTTCGCATGCCATCAGTGGCAGGTGCGATTTCACCGAGAGGATTGAGGGTCGATCTTGATTCTTTGAGAGGCTTGGAGAGGGTTCGGCGACGAACCAACTGAGTATACACTCCCAACTCATCACACGGAAGTGGAACAAAAATTGAGAACACAGACTGTTTTATAAAGGAAAGAGCGTATGAGTTCTTCTCCTGTGTTCATCTGCTTGAGAGAGGCCATTTGTATTTCCATGAACAGTTGAAAGGATCGGGAAGCAACATTGAGCAATGCCCTGGAAAAAAAGAACTGGTCAGGACATGTCAGTAAATATGTGCGTCACAAAACCCGCCACATCGTTGCAAAGTGCGGAATGGAGGGTCACCATTTGGGACATCTCTCAATAAATTCTTGCCCGTGCCGCCGTGTGCGTACTGCCCGTGCCACAAAACCTATATAGTTATAGTGGTTTCAGAATAGATGGCACAATCCCCAAAAGGGGGGTTATATGGATCCTCATCAAAAAGACCTCTTCAGGTTTGTGCCATCTACTCTGAAACCACTGTATCGTAAGCAGCTCTTTGAGGTCGAAAGACCCTCTGATCATCCGATCTGTCAGCACGACACGTCAACCTCCGTGATCACTCACCAACCTTGTTGCATCTTCGTCGCCGTCACGGAGAGTCTTCCAACCACCGGACGCCGTGCGTTTTTCAACGCAGCGACACGACACGTCCGACACGACACGTCCGGGTGTCAATGGCTCGGGTGTAAACGTCGCTTGTCTACGCGGCGCCGCGCACGTGGCCCAGCGTCGCACCGCGGGTCCTCTTGACTGGAGACTCGATCACCCACCATGAAGTGACGGTCCACGAGTCTCAAGGAACTCGCCTCTGAAGCGAAATCGATTGGACAGTCGGGTTCTGTTGCTGATTTGGAATTGAGGACCCATGGACCCTAGTATTGGAAAGTTGTGGTAGTGGATTCTATTTGAGGGTCCTCCCAACACACGGAAAGTCCAGGTGACCGAGGCGGCCGCATCAGGTGACCGCGGCGGCCGAGGGTCAAACAAATCAACCCAAACAGACGGGGCTGGTTAGAAGTTGAAAGTTGAAACGTTTGGGGCGCCCAGAACATCCACTCACTGGATGGAACTAAAAACCACCCCGTCTTGTGACTCTGGTCAGCTTTTCTAGACCTGAATCCCACTGACTCTCTCAAGCTGGCGCCTTGATCCTGCTGGCGTTGCTTTGTTGCAGGTTTTGGCTGAGCCAGGAGACACGGCAGTGCCCAGGCGCCAGTGGCCCCATCTCCTGCGCGCGCATCAAACGGCTCAATGGCCACTACACATGTCGCGATGAGATTGCAGCAGTTGGATGATGGTAGATGATGGTAGTCAATTTGTGTGTATGAAAATAGGGAGACCTTCCCAGGCACCCCCCTGAGAAGAACGGATATATACTGTATATACCAGGACCTTCCAACAGGTGGTTTTTGGGCACTCCTTGACCTCTAAGAGGCTGTTTATAGACACCTCTTGGAAGGTCCTGGTATATATAGACCAATCACACATTGGTTGGAGGTCTCCATACATTTATATACATTAAACATAGATGCATGTCATGTATCCGGGATCCAAGTACGTCCGAAGGTAGTGGTCGACCCTTCAAACCCGCCGCGACGCCGCGACGCGAAAGGACGACGGCGCGAAGTCTGGCACCCGTCTCCTCTTCGGAGCTGTCACCCAAGTCTGCCACGCGGTGGACCTCCCAAAGTGATGAACAATTCAAACTTCATACCCAAACGCTCCAAACAGCCCGACTGGTCCCTCAAAACCGGATTTGAGACCCCAAAGCCCTCCATATGAGGGTCAGCGTCTGGGTCAAAAGAAACGGAATCGCACGGAAGGATGGGCTTCTGCGCTTTTCAAAACCTCTGGTCGATACTGAGCGAAGTGAACTTCTGTCGAAACCTGTCGAAATATCTACTGGTATCTTACTGGTCCAGTATGTCAGTGAACCATTCATTTGGGATTGCCCATGGTTTTCGTGAAAACGGATGGGTCTCAACTCATGATCATGTCTCGACCTGCCCTTTGGCGATCACATCAGTTAGTATTGCCAACCTCTTCACCGAAGAAACACCGCTGAATCTGTTCCCAACAAGTTCCCAGAACAGCTTCCGCGTTAAAGAAGAGACGCAACTCCGTTTTCTTCTTCTCGTTTCAACAAACATAACACTTTGGCTGCTTGGTGAATCGAATTGAATCCGCGAGCTGCCTTTCAGTCATCAACAGCTACGACGTACAATCATCTGCGGCAGCCCCGAAGACTCACCCCTCACCTGGCCGCGCCACTTTTGCCTGCAAACGGACCAAACGGACCGAATCCATCCGTTGTTTTGACGGATCAACCAATCTGACAGGTCGATGTAATGAGTAAAACCTGGTGCTACAACACACACTTGCCGCACTTCCCATTTTGAAGATCTTTAGGGCCATTTTGGGGCTCGAAGGATCGAGCTTGAGCATATTTAGCTGCAAGTCATGGCCGCCATTGAGATGTTGGCAAAGCCTCAGCCAAACTTCACCAACTGTATCATCAATTCTGCCAAAAAGCAGCCATCCACCCAAGCCGAGCAGGTGGCATCCAGCAAACAATCATCAAAGTTTCAAAGTAGTTTAAGTGTTACTATTCATGTACAAGTATATATATATATAATCTGTCTGATTCGTTAGTTGCTACCTTCAACATCTGTCAAACATGCAGAGTAGATTGCAAGCTTCTAATCTTGGATGTGCTTTAATCAACTTTAATTTTGAATGATATGCACAGGCAGCCTTCGCATTACCCAAATACGTGCTGTAGGGTTAATTTATGGGTTTTTATAAAGCTGGACCACAAGACAGGGGGGAGCCTCAGGATTCAAGGGATGTTGAGGGCAAACTACTGCAAAACGGCCATGAGTTTCATGTGCCAATGACTAACTGAATCGTCCTATGAAACGAACCGAAGGAAACCTACGTTTGCTGGCCAACTCGACGTTGGAGGCAATGACTCCAAACGGCTGCACAAGGCTGAGAGAGTCGCTCAAGAAAAAACACCAATGACTGTTCCAGGCCTAGTAAATCTCAAATGCACCGATCCAAACCCCATGATGTTGCAATCAGTCCTCTTTCCCTTTGAAGTTCAGGAGAAACAAACCCAGATCACGCCGTTTGACGCTTCAGTTCCGGAAGCGACCAATCCGATGATGATTCGCACCTGAGCTTCTTCTTTTGGTGCAGTTCCACAAAATCCCTGGGCGCGGATCGGAGACGCACGGGAGACGCACGGTCTCCCAAGACATGGCTACAGGAAATGGAATATATAGTTTGATGCCACTCACGACTTCTTT